CACTTATGTAAAAAAGATGACTTTATAAATGCATATGTACCTGTAATTTTTTTTTTAAAAGCCTGTAATTTTAGAGTAGGTATTGGTTCACCTTTATTTCAAAAAGGTACGACAGTGTACAATTTTCTGGTGAAATTGCTCCCAAATGTAAGATTGTTTATCACAATAGTAGGATAAACACACCTTTAGTCCTTTAATACTAACAGTATAAATAATTGTTTAATTCTCCTGGTTGTTACCTCCTTATTCCCCAAACTTAATATATTGTTCCTTTATACTTATATTGTAAGTATGTTATAGGTACACTATAATTACCAAAGGTTACGCTGTTAAATCGCTTTAATTACGCAGTACTTTCCAGGCTGTAATCTAAAGCATTATCAAATATTTCATATTTAAAACTTTATTAAATAAAATAACCAGCTTCCGGCCAAGCGAACATACAGATTGCACTTAAGTGTAAAGTGCAACTTATGTGGTTTTAAGTTGATATTTACTCTACACCATTATGCACTACGCTACTTCTGACGTCACAAATTGACCTATGGCTAAGCCATTCAGTCAAACACGATGAGCAGTGCGCACCTAACCTAATACACTCGGACATTCTCTGCTTCCACGTCCATTGAAATGCATTGCAGTTAGTCAGTTTTCATTAGGTTTTTTTGTCATTTTAAGTTTAAAATGGTCAAACGGTGTGCATGGGGTACATACAACTCCGACACTAGGTTCCCGAGAGACTGGGCGACGGTGTGTATTTCTTTACCCTTTCCCAAGCCACTTCTCAACAGAGATAAGTGTCTGCTCTGGATTAAGTTATGCGATTAAGTCATGCGCCGCGGTAGACCACAACAACAACTAAAGTTAGCCTTCTAGTTGCTTTGTACATCATGTCACTTAGCTTAATTAACGTATCTGTAAATAACCGAGATAACAAATGTTAACAATGTTGTGCTGAATGATTCATGTAAATACTGTAGCACCAAACGGTGATGGCAACGATATGCGGTATATCACGTTTACATTGTGACCTGTAAATTACATTTTTGCCTGGAGCTGAAGCTTTTCATCGACCTTCTCAACAATAAAATTATTAATATAACCCTCCAATGCATAGTTAAGGCCCTTAAGGTGACTTTGAGATGATATATCATATTTCTGTCTCCAAAAATCACCAATTGCCTCCTGTAAAATGTCTGCCATAGCGCCTGTCCCCGAATGTTGACTGTTTGTCCAAGTGAGTGGAGGGGGCGTGGCTTAGCCACAGGTCAATTGCATAAGTTTGCAAGTAGGCTGCTTATGGCCATTTAGTTGGAAGCTAGTTGTTTTTCTTTAAAAAGTTTGGATAATATGGATATTTTTCAAACAAAATTTTTGCTTCAGAAGGCCTTTATTAACCCCCCTGGAGCCGTGTGGAGTTTATGATGGATGGATGCACTTTTTTGAGCTTTTTTAAACTAATAGTTGCAATCCACTGCCATTACGAAACTTGGAAGCGTCAGGGTGTTTATTAATAAAATTCTGATTGTATTTGTCTGAAAGAAGAACGTGGGCTAATATACACCAAAGGATGGCTTGAGGGTGAGTAAATCATGGGCTAAATACTCTAATTAAATTATGTAAAATCTAATTTTGAAAAATTTATTAAATTAAGTACAATCAAAACACCTCAACAAGGTTAATAAATCCATACCGGAAGTGACAGTACAATGTAGTAGATATTGAGCAATCCTCCACCAAATTGCCAGTACTCATCTGGATCCTTGGTCAATCTGGGATGGGGTGGGGTGATGCGTCCTTAACAATATTAAAACAAAACGTATCAATATCGTACCAACATTTGCCATTATAAAACATTCAGAGAACATGAAAAATAGCCCAATAGCTCCCCGGTCTCCACTGTGTGTGTTTAATACTCACTGCTGTGTGTGTGTGTGTGTGTGTGCACTTGAATGGATGAAATGAAGAGCACAAATTCCGAGTTTGGGGACACATGTCACATCACATCAATTGAAGCTTTAAAAAAAGAAATTGCTACTCCAAAATCAAACAAACCATCAAACAATTTTACCTGTAGCCACATTTATCCTGTTATGACACGTCTGAGGGTCTTTCCCTTGATGTTCTTCCGTGAACTAAATAAAGGGCTCATAATGGTGACATGTTCTCCTTTCTTTGTCACTTTAGAGGAAGAAAGACATAAAGATAATTAGTTACTCAGATTTGTCACTGGTAGAGGATATGACTTTTGATGATGAGTATAATACTTTTGACAACATAATATATTAATCCCAATGTAAGGTTTAGAAGCAATGGTTAAAACTGACTTACATAATGAAGTTGATAATCATGCCGTGGTGGATTTGTCGCTCTGTTGGGTGCCTGCTCTCCCCCCAAAAATCTTCTTCCAGTGCTTGATATATAAAAATAATAAAAAAATAAACAAATCTCTTATCATTAGCAGTTATCAGTTTTATAAGAGGTGATGTCAAAATATTTAGAAACGGGCATACTAAAATATAAGAGATTTAACGTTAGACCAATAACATTTCTCAACTCTTAGATTCCAGTGTTTCAGAGAGTAAATGAGTAAATTTATCAGTCAAATCATATTTATATAGCGCTTTTCACAATATATCAGTCACTTTACTCATTTGGATTCTACTTCCCTAGTAAATAAATAAATAACTTCTACCAGAATATATTAGAACACATTTCATACTAATTATACTTCAATTTCATTAACATAATTATTGACACATCACCTAAGAAGACTTTATTACACAATGAACATTTTATATATATATATATATATATATATTACGACAAAAAAATAAAGTAATAACGTTACCACTATTAAGTGTACCAAAAGTATATTTGCAATAGTTCCACTTTAGCACAATCAAATACACTTACTCAGAAGCACTAACGTTGCTTTCAGATAAATAGTTATGTTAACGTTACAAACACAACTGCAGGTAACTTAGTAGCCTACGTCCGTTATCCGTTTATAAAACTCTCGTATGTAACGTTAACGTTAAGTTACACAGAACATTTCTGGGTAGTTAATGAACTCCATTCACATACGTTTTGTTTATCTGCATTATTCAACCATGAACTATATTAACAATCTCATCCACTTATTTGAATGTAATACCTGAACGTTTATATTAGTGGATCTCAGTTTTTCTAAAATGATAGTGGAGACAGAAAAATGTTCTCTTACCTGATCGCCAATATTGCAGGATCTCACGCATCCAGTCTGAGCGTCTTCTGTGTGTTCACATCTTCTGTTCTCCTTCGTTTACATGTCACATCGCAAATTAGTTCAAAATAATAATTGAAAGACCGAGTAATCTTGCTAAGCAGCCGTCGTCATCAACTCAAATGTATTTGATTTTTCAAACTTGACCAGTAAAAAGGCGCGCACAGTTGTCATTGGCCAGTTACATAGATGACAGTCAGATTAACCAATCATGATCAAAGAAGGTGAAACAACCGAAGTTACGACGTCACTCTGTAGGCCAAAACGCAGAAGTGAATTTGCATTTTAGCATTACAGTTCCCTCGCTCTAAAGTCTATGGGATTTTTGAATGGGTTTTTGCTAAATCTCCTGAAATAAGGTCTCTGGTGAACAGAGCCTCTAAATATTTTCACGTTTTGATCTATGACATAGAACACACAATTATAACCTGCGTGTGTTTTTTTTTTTAAACTTTATTGTGTCTGATTTTTAAAATCTTTATATATGCTTCAAAATGTATATAAATTTTGGATTAACTTGTAAAGATTATCTTGCTAGACAAAACGTGTAAGGGTCACAACCCTCTGTTAAACACAGATCTTATTTTTTGCGATTTTCCAAAAGTCTATGGGGAAAATGCATTGCTTTTTTACCGAGGGAACCCATGCGCCGCTAGCTTCCGGGTTGTCCTACAAAGTGACGTCATCACTTCGGCACTCTATTGTTTCAGTGGTAATGATTAAAAAAAAAAAAAAAAAAAAGTGGTAATGATTTTTTTTTTTTTTAAGAAATCCGTGTTTAATTTAATTTGTAGGCTATATTATTTGATTACTGTTTTTATGAAAGTGTGTGAATAAAAATGTAATCCTGCAAGCTAAACTTTAGGCACACACACAAAATTGTAAACTCCAAACAAAATCGCACAAAGCAAAAAAAGTTTATTCTGCACTTGTTGAGATTGAAATTATATCCATTATTTTTATTATTGTTAATAATATACTGATTCTATTTCAACACAAATTTATATTTTTGAAGTGGTGTTTTGATCAAAATATCATAAAATGCTACAATAATAATTAGAAATTAATAATTAGAAATAATAATAATTTAAATGTTATGGATTTCTTGAAGACATGACATTGATTCAACAAACAGATAAAAAAAATTCAACTGTTTAGCATTAAAATGTTACATTGTGTACATTGTGTGCATTCTGTACTCGCTGCAAATGTGATTTTTGAATTTAGTTTTGATTTTCCCTTCAAACACTGCATGTTGCATTCTAACTTTTTTTACTTGGGCTATTTCATCATCTGGACTGAGTCTCTTTCAATAATCAAAACCCTAACCCTAACCCCAATATTTAAAATCTCTAGAGTTACATTGTCACTAACTGACTGACCAGAAAACTCTTTTGAGTATTTCCATTGAATAAGGGCATTTGGCTGATGCTAGGAATTTGATTTATTCTAGCCATCTCAAGTCATTAGAATATTTTGATAGATAAGTAGCTTCTGTAACCCGTTCTTCATATTGTACAGTGACCATTTTCGGGATATTTTGAACCATTTGTATAACTATATTGAGATAAGCATATTGCAGTAACTCAGAAGTTTGCAGTAACAAAATTAAACCACTAAAAGTTGACACTTTGAATATTTAGTGTCAATGATTAGGGTTGGAACTAATATCTGCTGAACGCCAACACTCCAGGACTGGATTTGAAGAGCCGTGGCCTATACTGTATCCACATACCAATACTATTGCCAACAGTATTGGGACACCCATCCAAGTTATTGAATGGGGGTGTTTCAATCACTTCCATGGCCACAGTTGTATAAAAACAAGCACCTAGGTATGCAGGTGCTTCTACAAACATGTGTAAAAACATAGGTTGCTTTCAGGAGCAAGTGAATTCAAGCGTGGTACCATGATAGGTTTCCACCTGTGGAATAAGTCCATTTGTGAAATTTCCTCACTACTAAATATGGTCAACTGTTAGTGGTATTTTAACAAGGAGTATACTGTAAATCATAAATATACTGTATATAAATGTTTTAATGATTGCACAGATATGTTTTTTTTACAAGTGTATAGTTTATGAAGTCATTTACAGATGCACAATTTATATTTATTCCATAGTTCATTATATTCACAATTATACTTGTATATATTTCCGCATTAAGGATCCATATAGAGATTACTTATGTGGAAACTACTTTGGGCCCATGTAGGCAGCCTTTATGGGACTGTTTGTGTTTGCCCATGTCTGACCCATGCGGTTTATCAAAATGGGCCCCATATATTTTTCACATTCAGAACCCATATAGAGATCACTTATGTGGAAACTACTTTGGGCCCATGTAGGCAGCCTAAATGGGACTGTTTGTGTTTGCCCATATCTGACCCATGCGGTTTATCAAAGTGGGCCCCATATGTTTTTCCCATTCAGAACCCATATAGAGATTACCTATGAGGGAACTACCTTGGGCCCATGTAGGCAGCCTAAATGGGACTGTTTGTGTTTGCCCATGTCTGACCCATGCGGTTTATCAAAGTGGGCCCCATATGTTTTTCCCATTCAGAACCCATATAGAGATTGCCTATGAGGGAACTACCTTGGGCCCATGTAGGCAGCCTAAATGGGACTGTTTGTGTTTGCCCATGTCTGACCCATGCGGTTTATCAAAGTGGGCCCCATATGTTTTTCCCATTCAGAACCCATATAGAGATTACCTATGAGGGAACTACTTTGGGCCCATGTAGGCAGCCTAAATGGGACTGTTTGTGTTTGCCCATGTCTGACCCATGCAGTTTATCAAAGTGGGCCCCATATGTTTTTCCCATTCAGAACCCATATAGAGATTACCTATGAGGGAACTACCTTGGGCCCATGTAGGCAGCCTAAATGGGACTGTTTGTGTTTGCCCATGTCTGACCCATGCGGTTTATCAAAGTGGGCCCCATATGTTTTTCCCATTCAGAACCCATATAGAGATTGCCTATGAGGGAACTACCTTGGGCCCATGTAGGCAGCCTAAATGGGACTGTTTGTGTTTGCCCATGTCTGACCCATGCGGTTTATCAAAGTGGGCCCCATATGTTTTTCCCATTCAGAACCCATATAGAGATTACCTATGAGGGAACTACCTTGGGCCCATGTAGGCAGCCTAAATGGGACTGTTTGTGTTTGCCCATGTCTGACCCATGCGGTTTATCAAAGTGGGCCCCATATGTTTTTCCCATTCAGAACCCATATAGAGATTACCTATGAGGGAACTACTTTGGGCCCATGTAGGCAGCCTAAATGGGACTGTTTGTGTTTGCCCATGTCTGACCCATGCAGTTTATCAAAGTGGGCCCCATATGTTTTTCCCATTCAGAACCCATATAGAGATTACCTATGAGGGAACTACCTTGGGCCCATGTAGGCAGCCTAAATGGGACTGTTTGTGTTTGCCCATGTCTGACCCATGCGGTTTATCAAAGTGGGCCCCATATGTTTTTCCCATTCAGAACCCATATAGAGATTGCCTATGAGGGAACTACCTTGGGCCCATGTAGGCAGCCTAAATGGGACTGTTTGTGTTTGCCCATGTCTGACCCATGCGGTTTATCAAAGTGGGCCCCATATGTTTTTCCATTCAGAACCCATATAGAGATTACCTATGAGGGAACTACCTTGGGCCCATGTAGGCAGCCTAAATGGGACTGTTTGTGTTTGCCCATGTCTGACCCATGCGGTTTATCAAAGTGGGCCCCATATGTTTTTCCCATTCAGAACCCATATAGAGATTACCTATGAGGGAACTACCTTGGGCCCATGTAGGCAGCCTAAATGGGACTGTTTGTGTTTGCCCATGTCTGACCCATGCGGTTTATCAAAGTGGGCCCCATATGTTTTTCCCATTCAGAACCCATATAGAGATTACCTATGAGGGAACTACCTTGGGCCTATATAGGTTGCTTATATGGGATTGATTGTGTTTGCACATGTCTGTCCGATATAGTTTGGCCATGTGGGCCCCATATGTATTGCCCCATTCAAAACCCATATAGAGATTACCGACGTGGGTGCCACATTGGGCTCATGTAGGCAGCCTATATAGGACTGATTGTGTTTGCCCATGTCTGACCCATATGGGTTATGAAAGTGGACCCCATATATTTTTCCCATTCATAACCCATATAGAGATTATCTATGTGGGTACTACCTTGGGCCCACGCAGGCAGCCTATATGGGACTGGTTGTATTTGCCAATGTCTCACCCATTTGATAAACCCAAATGGGCCCCATTTGTGTTACCCATTTTGAGCCCATGCCCTCATTTCCCATTAGTGACCCAACTAGGACCCACATAGGGAGCCCACTTATTTTTGCCCATGTGGGACCGACGTAGCTGACCCAAGTGGGCCCCAGAAAAGATGCCCATTTTGGGACCATACCCACTTGGTACCCACGTAGCCCAAGCATAAACCATGTGGGGCCCACATATACATGTTGGCTGGGTTGTAATTTGTGATAAAATATATACAGTATAGGACTTTCACTTCCTTGCCGAGTCAAATATGCCATCAACATAAATCTTCAGTTAAAATAATCAGGCAAACTAATAAATTGTCAAATTTTGCCGTTTTAAAATTAATTTTGTTGCATGGACGGAGAGAACTAAAATGTTTAATTATTTTGAGCAGCATTTGCGCACCCCATCATGCTGTTGCTATTCTAAAAAAATAGTGGTTAGTCTAGTCTACAATGTTTTATAATAATAATGTGTTCTATTTAGTGTCCATTTTCTTCATTTAACATATTTTATATTTGGGGTATCCAAGTAATTTCACTTATTATAAATTTTTCGCTAGTAAGTAACGCTATTATTACTTTCCCTGGTATTTACTTTTGTAATGATGTAACTTAGTTTTACTAATTCAGTTTTTGTGAGAATAGTCAAGGATTCGGCTGAATTCTAATAGTCGAGGATTCGACGATTCAATTCGGAGAGGTCTGATTCGACTATAAACGTACTATAGTCGAATAGAACACGGCCAGTTCAACCTTGTATATATCAGGTTATGTGTGTATCCCGCTCACGAGCGCTCACTCTTAACAGACACACGAACAGACACACTGTCCCCGGCGCTGCTCGCGCGTTACAGAATATTCATCAAGCGCTCCCCGTTCACAGTAATAGGGTCGTCTCATTCAAAACAAAACGCACATTGAATACTCATATGAGTCAGGCTGCGAATGTAAGTTACGTGTCACACATTAATAACTCACATTAATAAACGCCTCACCTCTGGCGCCGCGCGC